TTGCCCTCAGATCTCAGAGAAGTTTTTCATACAGACATATTGGCCAATTCTTGTTTCTTGAATTCTTCTTTTTAGAAGAATTAAAATAGAGTTAAAATATAGTATTTGCTAGGATTCCCCAACCTCCTTCAATATGTGTGCTTCTGTCACCTTGATAAAATAATCCTATTTAATGGGCAAGACCTTTTAAGTGTCTTTTGAACCTTTAGAGGAGTGTGTGTATGGGCGGGGGGCAGGTGTTAAATGAATTAGAATGCATAGCATCAATATAATGTGGATGAGGTTAGGAAAGGAAGAGAAATCCTTGTGGTTGTATTTGATTTTGTTGTTGTTGTATTGTGATAGTGAACTGTCACATGGGTGGGGAAAAACCCTGAAACAAACATCTGCAGATGGTGAGCTACCCCCAAAATTAGAACTAGAGTGTGGTGCAACTGGCTCTTTTCAACCATCACTCCACTCGGGGGGCTTCTGGGAGTGAGAGGGGCCTATATAAATCAGACCCATCTCATTCCAAGGGGTATGGGCAGGAAGAGGAGAGGCATGATGGAGGCTGCTGAAGGAGTGTCAAGTGGAAACAGCTCTAGAAGGGGAGTTTTAAAGAAAGCACCAGACCGGTGTCAGAAGAAGGGACACCTTGGAAAAGAAGGTACTGAATTTGGGAGAGTTTGGGTACAGACTGGAGCCTATTTTCCAATAAAGACGTTGAACATACTCAGCGAGCATGGAAAACTGATAGGGAAATGGGAATAAAAGTAAATGGGTATAGATGGTGCTTTTTAAGAACTGCTACATTGTCTGACTTCCTCCCTCCCCCATTTCTGTGGTGGTTAGGTGATCTTGGCCTGCTCAAGCAATATCCTGGTGACATGCACTTAGAACTGGTTGGGAAATTCCTTTGGCATGGTTTCAGAAAACCAAAATGGCTTCAATTTTCAACAAAAACAACAACAAAAAACTTGATAAAAAGGAATTTCTTTCCAAAAAGTTTTTTTTAATTAGGCCTATGTACAACAAGAATATCTTTTTGACTCTTCCCTGAAAATTGAAGAGTACAATAGTGTGAACATTTTTTTTTTTTAAACAAATAGGTTTGGTTGGAGGAGAGGAGTTGTTTTACTTTTAATTAATATATTTTTAAAGAATAGCTGTATTGTGATTTTTTTAAAAATACAAGAAAAGTTACAAAATATTATTTGTTTTACCATATGAGAAACAGTACAATAAAACCTACACAAACTTGATGGCACATTAGCAATTGAGGAAGATGGCACTTTGGAATTTGGGGCTAATAACCATGCAAGGTGGATGCTGGTGCCTGTGCAGAAACCAACCCAATAGAACAGCTTGCTGGATCATGATATGAGTAATAAAGCCAAACAATACCTAGAATGTTAAACTTGTTCTTTGTTGGGGGCTGAATTACCATTGCTGTGAGAGTACATGTGCAGGAAGCAAAACATTCATTTTCAAGAAGCCACGTTTTTTGCATAATTGTCTGAATGCAGTATGTGCCTCTTTAGCTAATGAAATTAAATATCATATTTAAAGACAACTACAGATGTACTTAAAAATTAAATGATTTTTGAAACCTCCCTTCCTCTTTGCATTCCCCTGCCTTGACTAATCATACCCACTACCTTGTTGTAAATTTCTCCTGTTTTCCTACCTACTGCCCCATTTTGGACATCATTCCCACCACCTGTTTTGGAGGATTCTCTCCTCTCCTCTTTATCCCTCCCCAATCCTTCCATGTCTCTCTCCTCCTTTTTCCACCATCTTCTCCCTTTAGTTCCTGTTCCCTGGAGCGGTAGAGGTAGGGCTCAAAGTGGCAGCAGATGGAACTGGGAAAGGGGAGAGGAAGAGAGATGAACCTTGTTGCCTTGGGCTTAGCAGTGATGGCAGGGCCTAGGGAAGGCAGGAAAGGAGGCTCCTCTGAGCCCTGGGCCATGGAACATTGTTGTGGTGCTGGGCAGTACCCTCTCCATAAGCATTTCAAAGATGGCCAGGGCATTATATAAACCTAAAGTTATATCTTTAAATTGCCACATCCCTTTTCCTGCAGTCTTCCCCCTTTCTTTTGGATCCACTTCTATCTGCCAATACCCACTTTTAAGATCCAGTATGGAAAAACAGACTAATATGCTACAGCAGCCAGGACATCATCTATTGTGGTAATTGATAAGAATTCTTTAAAGTAATTTCATTTCATTTTCTAAAGTCCATACAAAATCTAGTGCAACCATCTTTATTCTTAATGATAACTATATATATGAAGTCCAAGGATTTATTGAAAGCACAGTTCTGCCTGCCTGATAGATTTCTCCAGTGGGCTGCAAAGCTTCTTATCCTTTTGAAATTAGTGACTGTAAAGTACCTCTTTGATTGACCAGCTTCCCCCAGTGTTATATTTGTATTTTTCTGGAGCAGTTTTATGGCTGTGCTGTTGTGCCACAGTAGTTAAGATTGCATTTCGTTTCCCTTGTTGTGTGGGAATTCAAGCTCTTTGTTTTATATGAAAAACACAGCCTCAAATTTTAAGCATGTGGTGTGAGTCAAGTTTGAATTTTCTGAGGCCTTACGAGGTTAATTAGTTTAAGTTCTAATAAATTAAAAAATGCTGCACCAAAAAGTTCACATTCTGAGTTTCATGATTTTTTGGGCTTCTCTAACTTGGAAATTGCAAATGTAGAGACTCAAAAATGTTACTGCATAGTGAGTTTAGTGGGTTCTCTGATGTTATGTAAATACTTAATTAACAAACCTTATCATGGCAGTATGGCCTATGTTCCAGTCACTACCCCATAAATGGGCACTACCTGTAATAGATGGCCTACTTTGCAAATTGCAAAGGGCCTGTGAAAACAGAGACAGACTTTAAAATATTTTGACCAGGTCCCTGCAACTTCATTAAACCTATAGCTTTAAGTGGGATAACTTTACAAGCAAACCATCCCCACAGCTCTGTGAAGGGAATAAGAACAACCATCCTTTAAGTGTTGCTGGCCTTCCTTTTTTCAGTACTCAACTCCACAGCATCCTACCTATCCCAGGTTTAACTGATACACTTTTACCTTAGAAGGCTTTGATTATTTTGAGGCCTAACCAAGATACAGAACTTAGCCAAGATCCACAGCCACATGCAGGCAACTACTGAGCCTTGAATGAATGCCCAGGCTTTCTTATGAACCCAACCCCCTTCTGTGCTGCAAAGGAGACCATTGTACATGAATAATCACTTGTGTGTGGAAAAGTTATAAGACAAATAAAGGTCTGAGGTTGAGTATAATAAGTACTAAGAATTTGGAAGGAATGGGTGGGTTGAGAGAGAAAATAGGTTGGTCATTATGGTAGAGAGGTGAGGTCACAATTGTCTACTGATTTCCAGGTCCCAAGTGGTTGATAAGCTCTTTGTGCTTTAAGTTGATACCACAAAGTCAGATGTTCATATACTGAACATGCCTTGGGGGTAGCTCAGTGGTTTGAGCATTGGCCTGCTAAACCCAGGGTTGTGAGTTCAATCCTTGAGGGGGCCACTTAGGGAGCTGGGGCAAAATCAGTACTTGGTCCTGCTGGTGAAGGCAGTGGGCTGGACTTGATGACCTTTCAAGGTCCCTTCCAGTTCTAGGAGATAGGATATCTCCATTAATTAATTTATTTATTTTTATTAAAAAACAGTCTTCTCCTTTCTCTTGTCTGGAAACAATCCTCAAGAAATTTAGATTTTAGTATTACCTACTATGATTTATTTTTATTATCATGGCACTATCTTTTGTGTATATACCTGGTATTACAAACTGTCACTATATTACATCTTTTCTCATTTCTAGAATTTCCTGAGAAGTAATGTCTGGAATTTCTAAAAGTCTCAAGAAAATTAGCAAAGATATCTTCAACTACTCCCTTCTCCTCATTTAAGAAATTTTTAGAATTTGAGGAGTTTGAGAAGCATATTTTACTCCTTCAAAATATTTAAAATAAAGATTGCATTTAGAAGTCTATCATGTATCAAGCAGCATATAGCCAGTGCTGAAGCATCTCTAAGTCCATTTAGTCAGAAACCTACCATGAAATTCTGGCCCCACTGAAGTCAATTTTACTGTTGGAGTGCAAAAAAAACCCTAAAGATATACTTTATCTTCTTAAAAATAGAGAGCAACAGTATTTGTATACTTCTGGTGAAACATCAGAATCTTTACACTATAAATGTCACTCATCAATTTCTTTATTAGTTTGATTATTAGGAAAATATGGCACTTCAAATGTTTATGTCCAAAGATAGGTATCCTAGTTTGTGGCATTACATTGGTGTTTCTTTATATTCCACATACTTTACATACTGTGGGCATATTTGTGTTAATTTCCATTTAAGCAATGAAATAAAATCTATAACACAGAATTTTCCCTCCCTTTGCATTTTTTAATATAATCGATTGTAAATGTCTTCTGTTCCATAACAATGAAAGACAGTTAGACATTATTTCTGTCCTAAACAGTGATATTGATTTTTTTTATTTCAGATACCAATTCAGTGTTAATTGTTTCTGATATCTCTGCTAGTGCTGCTTAGTGCAAAGTATTTGCAGATATATTTTTGGTCTTTTTTTCACTCTTAATGGGTACCCTAGTGACAGCAAGGAAAAACATCTTTTTAAACATAAGGAAATTCCCAGGAAAATCTTCAAATAGGAATTAAAGTTGCACAGTAATTTGGACTCAAATTTTCATTAAAGCAAATTGTCTTTAGTTTTAATTATAAAAATAAGCCTCTAAATTAGACCCCAGTAAACACAAATGAGTAACTTCATGCATCTGAGTAGTTCTGTTGGCTTCAATGTTAAAGTTAAGCATGTGTTTGCAGCATAAGGTATCATAGTTTGTAAACCTCTTGGGGCTGATCCAGCTCCAATTAAAGTCTGTCAATTCCCATTGATTTAGGTGGTGCAGAATCAGTGATTTAAATTTCCTTGTCTCTCTAAAACTACTATATTTTGACCTGTTCTCTTTTTTTATTTTTTTTCAGGCTCAGTTAATCCATGACCGAAACACTGCATCCCATTCAGCAGCAGTTGTTAAGTGTGATGCTGCTGCTGCTACACCTGAAAAAGTGCAAATGACCTGGACTAAAGAAAAGTTTATAGCTGAAAAGCACAAACATAGAGAAACAAATATAACAGGTTTTAAAGATATCTTCAACATGAAGCCGTAAGTACAAATGTGATTTTAATAAGTTTCTGGTTTTATCCTTTTTCTGGTATTATTTGAGGCCTCATCTTGTAAAAACGTATGCATGTCAGTAATTTTTTACACAGGAGTAGTGGCACTGAAGTCAATGGCAGAATTTACATGCATAAGTGTTTACAATATCAGGCCCTAAGTGAAGCGTAGAAGAGGCTAATGTTTGAGGCAATAAGTGCTAAATTTGGGTGACTGATACATTTGCATTACTTGTAACAGTGCTTTAGAAGAAGCTTTTTCACATTTTACATTTGTCATATTACACGTATAATGTTCTTATTGAAAATAACTATAAAGAAGATGCTAAGTATTGTCCTATGAAATTGATTCAACCATCTACTCTAATTAAACAGGCTTAGTCCCCAATCTTGTGAGTTACAATAGGTTGATGGACCCCTGTACCCTCAGAAGTCAATGAGATTCTACCCAGGTACTGGGGTTTCCCCCACATATGTAAGCTGCAAGACAGGATTTAAGGATATGTCTACACTGCAGAAAACTCCTGCAGCAGGAAGTATCGGAGCCCAGGTCATCTGATTCGGGCATGCACTATGGGGTTAAAAATAGCAGTATAAACATTCTTGCTCAGGCTCTGAGACATAAGAACATAAGAATGGCCGTACTGGGTCAGACCAAAGGTCCAGCTAGCCCAGTATCCTGTCTACCGACAGTGGGCAATGCCAGGTGCCCCAGAGGGAGTGAACCTAACAGGTAATGATCAAGTGATCTCTCTCCTGCCATCCATCTCCACCCACTGACAAACAGAGTCTAGGGACACCATTCCTTACCCATCCTGGCTAATAGCCATTCATGGACTTAACCTCCATGAATTTATCCAGTTCTCTTTTAAATGCTGTTATAGTCCTAGCCTTCACAACCTCCTCAGGTAAGGAGTTCCACAAGTTGACTATGCGCTGTGTGAAGAAGAACTTCCTTTTATTTGTTTTAAACCCGCTGCCTATTAATTTCATTTGGTGACCCCTAGTTCTTGTATTATGGGAATAAGTAAATAACTTTTCCTTATCTGCTTTCTCCATATCACTCATGATTTTATATACCTCTATCATATCCCCTCTTTGGGCAGGTCTACACTAACCCCCCAATTCGAACTAAGGTACGCAACTTCAGCTACGTGAATAACATAGCTGAAGTTCGAAGTACCTTAGTTCGAACTTACCTCGGTCCAGACGCGGCAGGCAGGCTCCCCCGTCGACTTCGCCGAGCTGGAGTACCGCAGTCGACGGCGAGCACTTCCAGGTTTGACTTATCTCATCCAGACAAGACGCGATAAGTCGAACCCAGAAGTTCGATTTGCTTGCCGCCGAACAACCGGATAAGTGTAGATCTACCCTTCATCTCCTCTTTTCCAAGCTGAAAAGTCCTAGCCTCTTTAATCTCTCCTCATATGGGACCCGTTCCAAACCCCTAAGCATTTTAGTTGCTCTTCTCTGAACCTTTTCTAATGCCAGTATATCTTTTTTGAGATGAGGAGACCACATCTGTATGCAGTATTCAAGATGTGGGCATACCATCGATTTATATAAGGGCAATAATATATTCTCCTTCTTATTCTCTATCCCCTTTTTAATGATTCCTAACATCCTGTTTGCTTTTTTGACTGCCTCTGCACACTATCCACAATGACTCCAAGATCTTTTTCCTGATTCATTGTAGCTAAATTAGCCCCCATCATATTGTATGTATAGTAGTAGACCCTCCTCCAGACCAGGTTTCAGAGCCCGGTCTCCCACTCAAGCAGGAACATCTACACTGTTATTTTTAGCCCCATATTGCGAGCTCAAGTTAGTTGACCTGGGCTCTGAGACTCGCTGCCACGGGGGAGGGAAGATGGGTTGCTGTGTAGATGTACCCTAAGTGCAGAGGTGAAAGTAAGCCAGTATGCCCCCGTACGACGTATTGGCAAGAACCGGTGCACCGTACTGGGGCAGCCCAGCTTCCCCAGGTGGTAATTTAAAGGGCCTGGGGCTCCCAGCAGCGGCTGGAGCCCCAGGCCCTTTAAATTGCCGCCAGAGCCCCACTGCCACTACCCCAGGGCTCTGGGGGCTATTTAAAGGGCCTGGGCAGTAGAAGCAGGGGAGTCCTGGGCCCTTTAAATAGCCCCCAGAGCCCTGGAGTAGTGGCGGGTCTCCAGCAGCTATTTAAAGGGCCCGGGGCTCCCGCTGCCTCTATGGCCCTCATCCTTTAAATAGCCGCCAGAGCCCCACCACCGTTCCGGCAGGCTCCAGCGGCTATTTAAACGGCCCGGGGTGGTAGCAGCGGCCGAGCGCTGGGCCATTTAAACTGCTGCTAGAGCCCCCAGCTGCCACTGCTACCCAGGCGGGGGAGGGGGAGGGCACTTACCAGTACAGGGCAGGCCGGGGCTGGCTCTGATCTCCATCCCCGCCCCTTCTGCCCAAGGCCCCGCCCCTTCCAGGGGCCAGAGCCGGCCCCAATCCAGCCCCATACCGGTAAGTCCCTATTTCTACTTCTGCTGCCAGAGCCCCTGCCTAAGTGTGTAAGAGCTGACCTTTAGTAATAATGGGTAAAACTGAAAGTCAGATAAGCTTCGATGCTCTTGAAAATGAAACCTCAGTCACTTCGGAGCCTTTTTGGGGGGGGGGGGGAATTTTTACCTATTACAAATGCAGAATATCAGTTTGGTTATGATGGAGTTTTGCTTTAAAATACTGTTCTGTTCAGAAGCTATGCTAGAGATTGACTTATATTTTACTTAAAATAGTTGTTTTTTAAATTCTTTTCTGGTAGTAGACCTTTTGAATCATGCAAAAACATAGATCGACATTTTTTATTTAGATATTAGAACTCTAAAATTATACTACTAGTCAATGAGGGAAAGGTTAATTCAAACCACTAAAGTTGTACAGTTTTTATCAGCTGAAGTTGCTATATTTAAAAATGTACCAAATAGCATAAAGCAATGTATTTATACATGTTTGTTTCTCTTCCATGTAGAGAATGGGGAAATCTGTAAGTCAAATCTGTTTTAATTTAGGCTGTGTTCCCTGGTTCTTGTGTATTATTATTGCATGTTTCCTTTAAAGCAGTTGCTTCCCATGATTTATAGTATGCATATTGTGCACATATTGTGATTTGGCATGTGAATATAATTAGCATAGCATTTCCTGTCACCTTTTTCTGTTTTAGTTCCTAAACCTCACCAGTTTTTCATTTCAGAGTAATTCATAGTATACATATTAGTTTCTCAAAAATGATGGTCAATATAGTCAATTGCAAAATCTTTCATTAAAATCTGACAGTATTTGGTTGCAAAATAAGTGACCTTCATTTTTTCTAATTATCTTCTTAAAACATTGAATGTATGTATAAAAATTTTAATTCTGATTATGGTACTGTTTGGCACTGTGGGCTGAAAAAAATGAGACTGAGACTTGTTAAAAAATTGTATTATTCAAAAAGCCTCCATTTCCCAATTGGTAAACTGTAGATTTCCTCCTGCAATGTAATCCCCCCACCCCCACACACACACCCTTCATTTGGGCTATAGGGAGCAAATAAATTTACCAATGGATTCATAAAACCAGATCATGTCCATAGGGAGTTTATCCACCCTGATGGAGCCACTAGAAGTACTCTACTTTTCCTCTTCTCTCCGTTCTTGGGTTTTCTCTGTTTTGACAGAAGTGCTAAAAGACAGCCTCCACCGTACACAGAATTCTGTCTTTTGTTGCTCCATCTCTATGATCTTTGATTTCTCTCTTTGTCATTTTCTAGCTACCATACTTACTTCCACAGAATTGTAATCCTTCAGGTTAAAAAAAAATCTGTATTCAAATTAATCTTGTTATTATTAGTTTGATAGCAGCCAAAATGTGTTAGGCTCTTCATAGAAAAAGTAATCTTTGCCCCCAAGATCCTGCAATCTAAATTTAAACATTATACAATCAATGAGTATGGCAAACAGGTAGGGAAGGAACAGGGTAAATAGTTAATAGATATTGCTGCCCGCTTCTTGGTAAATAAGCAGGCATTATCTCCCGTAAATGTAAACAAACTCGTTTGTCTTAGCGATCGGCTGAACTACAAGTAGGAATGAGTGGACTTGTAGGCTCTGAATTTTCACATTGTTTTCCTTTTGAGTGAATTTATGTAAAATAAATTCTACATTTGTAAGTTGTGCTTTCATGATAGAGATTGCACTGTAGTGATTGGATGAGGTGAACTGAAAAATACTATTACTTTTGTTTATCTTTTTTACAGTGCAAACATTTGTAACAAAAAATAATAATATAAAGTGAGCACTGTACACTGTATTCTGTATTGTAATTGAAATCAATATATTTGAAAATGTAGAAAAACATCCACAATATTTATAATTAATTTAAATTGGTATTCTATTATTGTTTAATCATGAGATTAAAACTGCGATTAATTGCGACTATTTTTTAATTTAGTTAATTTGTTTTGCATTAATCGCTTGAGTTAACTACAGTTAATTGACAGCCCTTGTAAATATGCCTGATAGTTACAGGCATAAAATCATGTGATTTATTTGGATTTTAACTTTGTTTCCAAAGCCACAAACCTTGGAATTATACATCTTCCTTTTTTATTAATCTGCCTATCACCACTGGCGATATATTGCCATAATTTCTCCTTACTTTGAGACTGTTTCTGTTCTAATCCTCATTCATGCCTTAATCCATTCCTAACTAAATCCATCATTTACTTGTACAGTCTTCTCACATCATTATTATTATTTATTTATTTTTGCTTTAAACTACAGGGATTCCCAAAAGTTGAGTCCAAACTACAGTAGAACCTCAGACTTATGAACACTGCGAGAATGGAGGTTGTTCATAACTCTGAACTGTTCGTAACTCTGAACAAAATGTTATGGTTGTTCTTTCAAAAGTTTACAACTGAAGATTAATTTAATACAGCTTTGAAACTTTACTATACAGAAGAAAAATGTTGCTTTCCCTTTATTTTTTAGTAGTTTGTTTAACACAGTATTGTACTGTATTTGCTGTGTGTGTGTGTGTGTGTGTGTGTATGCGCGCGCGCGCGCGCAGTGCTACCTGATTACATACTTCCAGTTCCAAATGAGGTGTGCGGTTGACTGGTCAGTTCATAATTCTAGTGTTCTTAACTCTGAGGTTCTACTGTATTTTCTTGTTCCAGAAAGTGCCAGTCATCTGTCATCTTCACTGAGTTCCTATCCAACAACTTCTCCAATTAATAATTTCTTCATATTAGATATCCCTTTTATAGGAAACCATATGTGTTGGATGAGAAATTCAGTTCTCAGAATTTTGCTGTAATTTGAAGGCATGTGAGGGGAGGGTCACTTGGAATTGGCTTGGGGTTTGGCTCTCTAAACCTATGCATTTTGGATAAATGCATAGGCCCTCTGCCTCAACACTTCCACCCACAGCTTTTGAAGGAATCATGCTATTGTGGGCTCTCCCACTGTCTGCTGCCCCCAAGAGGTAGGGTTCACTGTCCAATAATCAATGTTGCCAATTCTTCTGATATTTGATATCTTCCTTAAAGCACCAGGGCCTGAAATATTGTGATTAAATGAGAATTTCAACTTTAATGTAAAGAAAAGCTTTAAAATACTAACCCTACTGCTCAAAAACCAGAAGGCAAATAACTCAACTTTATTTTTATGTTTTTATTCATGTTTAAGCCAAACTTGGGGTTTTTTGGGGGGAGGAGACAGTGATTTTTGACTATTTGAAGGAACACTGGAACATGAAGAAAGGAAAACAAACCGAAGGAAATAGAGGACAAAGTGAGGAATGAACAATTTCTTGCCTTATTTTATTTCTGTTACCAGCTTTCCCCTTCATTCTTAATTAGTGGGACTGTGTCTCATGTCTAGAATTTGGTAACAGTCCAGAGTTGCTGGGGATAGCCCTGCCCTCACTTCAGACCACCTGAAATTCTGCCTGTGGCAACTGAACATGTTTCCTTTGATCATTTTCTTTTACACTTTAATTTAATTAAATTTTTTTTGCAGTAGTGATCTCATTTCAACTTCTAGTTCCTCTTGCTGTCCTCAGCTGAGGAATCACGGGAATGTTGAGCCTATAACTCTCTAGATCCCTATAGGACCTCTCTTAGTGGGCAGTCCCTTTTCCTTCTTTTACTCCCCCTCCCTCACCCCTAAGCCTAGTCCGAGATATGCTGTATTTATAAGGTAGTTTTTCTGGAGTCTCAGAGAGTGAGCTATGGCTTTCTTTTTCTTGCCAGACAACCCTCACTCTGCCAGGGCATTGAGTCAAATGAGCATGCCAGGGCCTCATCACCCAGATGCAACTCTGCTATTAAAACTACAATGTTAAATAAAAACATATGGGAACTAGTATAGGTCAGCACAGCAGTAACCCGTAAATAAATATATGGAGATATACCTAGCTCATAGAGCTGGAAGGGACCCTGAAAGGTCACTGAGTTGAGTCCAGCCCCCTGTCTGCACTAGTAGGGCCAAGGACTGATTTTGCCTCAGATCCCTGCCTGGGCCTCTCAAGGATTGAATTTACAACTCTGGGTTTAGCAGGCCAATGCTCAAACCACTGAGCTATCCCTCTCCCTCACTAAGTTATCCCTCCCCCATTGAAAGACATCATCACTGCTTGAGAAGGGGATCCTTCCAAAAGATCCCACATACCATGAAAGAGGTCTGCATAGAATTTCAAAGCTTCAGCTGTGGCCATTTAGATGACAGTTATCCCTGTTATTTGTAAGCAAAATGTAAGCACTTCTTTTGTGGCTGGTGGGAGCAGAAGTGATATCTGTTTATGTGGGAAAACAAAGAGCTTAGAGGGAGTCACTGAGCAGCACAGTGGGAGTCACTCAAAATATCTAATATTTTTTTACTGAAGCCAGGACAAAACTGATTTCAATAGGACCACTCAGAAAAATGGGATAGCTCTACAATACCCAAGACACCCTGATAAATTCTGATATCTGGTCATTGTATCTATTATGCCCATTTCTATATCTTTTCACACCAGTGAACTCGGAAGCCTGTCTGTATAACTTATTTCTAGAGACAGAGACGAACAACAAGGAGAAAAAATGTCATAAAAAAAACATTGTGAGATGATGAATTAAAAGAATGACTGGCGGTGCCTTTGGGTGTTATTGCCAACAATTAACCACTTGGCTACTTTCTCATATAGTTTCCCATTATGAACTGAATTTCGTTCAAAGATTTTATAGTATGACTAGTTTAACTTATGCTGGGATTTTCAAAGGAACTTAAAGGAAATCCCACTGTGTCTGCATAGTCTTGCTACAGTGCATTTAGAAATGCTATAGCAAAGATTGTGTCTGAATTTCCATTATAAATCCCTGTTTTGCATTCTTCCCTCAATTATATTTCTAGGCATCTCTATCAATCTATATCCACTCCTTGGCTTAAATTTCACTTATAAGGAAATTATCCTGAAAGCAGTACTTGTGTTTAGATTTTATCTTATTTTGAAGGAAAGTATTACCAATTTTAAGTTAAAAATTATAGCCCCTCTTTCATAAACCATCAAAATTGGACTTTATTTTTAATAAATGGGTAACTATAATTCTAGAAGTTAAGCTGTACTGAGATCTAAGTTTAACCCTCTTAAGCATCTCCTTCTATCACAAGTATTACATTTTCAGGTAATTATCATCATTCATAAATTTATTTATGGTATACAGATTAAAATAGTTATTGGTTACAATAATATCTTTACTTTAAAAAGTTTGTTTATGTACTAGGAATCAGTCAAATGTGAGAAGAATGCACACTGCTGTGAAGCTCAATGGAGTAATATTAAATAAGTCACAACGTGCTCAGCTAGTTTTATTGAATATGCCTGGACCTCCTAAAAACAAAAAAGGGGATGAAAACTGTATCCTATGCTGTATTGTTTTAATGGTGAAGTATACTATATTACAAAAAAGTAACAATATCATATAGATCAACAATTGCAAAAATTAAAGTTGTAATTGATATGAATGAGTAGAATGAGCATGTGTATATTTGTTTATATGTATATAGGGGCTGTGTGCTTTTTTTTGGTCTGTACTGTGGCTTTTTTGTTTGTATGTTAACTAGTGAGAACTATGCCTTTAAGACTAGCATTTGTAGAATATGTTTTCATGAGACCAAAAGTGGTGTGTGGAAAATGTTGTCTTTGTTTAATGGTAACACTGGTATTTTGGGTTCAGTTTATCTAAAATGCTTAGATAAAAATAATAGTGTTTAATGCCAATTTTATCTATTTATTAGTACTTCTGGGGTGCCTACATAGATCCCAACATTTATTACTCCTTCTTGATCTGAGATGGCAGGCTCTTTGCATACTGGGATCTAAAATTGTTGTGGGTGCACTTCATGAAAGATGAATGTGTTAGGTGCTTCAGACAAGTTATTGGATGCGGCTGCTACACTTGCACTTTGGATGCAGGAGTACAATTTACTAAGGGGTTTTTTTAGGATTATGTTTAAAGGTTGTTTTATTTCTTGTCTATAATCTTAAAACCTTAACTTGATTGTCCCCCAGACATGGAGTTTTTGGAAGTTTTGACAGAAGGTCTGAACAGAGTTCTCTTAGTGCGAGGTGGTGGACGTGAAGTGATCACCATTTACTCCTAATGCTGTTACAGAATATGAAAAGATTAACTGCAGTAATTTGAACAGTTGAAAAGAAATTACCTGTGTACTTGAAATGATGTACCAGCTGAATCTTCTGATCATGTGTTCTGCTTTCTTTCAAAGGAATCTATCTGAAATTATTTCCTACATAGATTTATCTTTATAGAAGAAATTTATATATTGTAGTATTAAATAAATGCTGAGGATCAGGAGGGTATTTTTTAAAGCAATCTTGGTGTCAGACCCAAGAAGGGAAAGGTAATTTTTATGGCAGATGAAATAACTAATGTTTTAAATGTGCATAATCAGAGAAAAACAGACATCTGCATTTTTAGTGACATTAATTGTATTATTTTGCTCCTACAAAAGAATATTTAAATGATGTTAAAACCTCCCAAGTTTATCAAAAAAATATGAAATATTTCAGACAAGAAACCCTGGTCTTATTATTTTGTCCTTTTGACAAATGCTGCTGTAGTGCATCTGTGACTGTTGTGATCACAGTTTCATCTTAGGTCTCCTGGTTCATATTGATTCAGAAATATGTACAAACATTTGACACATTTAATTATTTGACATAAAAGGAATTTGAAGGAATTACCTGATTTCAAAATTGGTTAAATAAAAATTCACAATTCAGCCATTACAGACTACTATAATTCTTTTAAATTACCCTTTGTGTATGTTTATCTAAACTTAACTTTGCTGAATTTACTAAGTTATAAAAAATATCTATGACTCCCTTTGCACCGCTGCTGTGTATGGATAATCTCCAAGTGGAAGTGAAGGTATTCTACATACCCTTTCACACACAGTTCCTTTCATGCTTGTAGCACACTGCATTCCAGTGATCCCAGAGTAGTGAATGGCTCCTTGGGGGCTATTGCATTTTGGAGCAGTCTGAGAACTGCAATCAGGACTCAAGAATTTTAACCATCTCCTGTTTAGATGTTGGACATAGCAAGTGATGGGGAAGAGAATAGGGACAGTAGGGCATTTATATATCCTATGTCTGTGATTCTGCCTTGTGATGGGTGATGAATTTTCAACACACGGCATGCAATATTCAAATTCAAATGATAAAACGGAAGTGTGGGAAATAAGGAGGCTCACTTTGACGAGTTAAGTGTAGTCTTCTGCTTTAAATTAAATGCAGGAACAGTCACCCTATTTCTTTTTATTATTTTTATTTCTTGAAAGGAAATCTGATTTTCTGAAAACCGAGGTTTTTTATAAAATACATAAATGAAGAATTTCTTTGTCAACTGAATTGGGGGTAAACTATTAAATTTGTAGATATTTGTTTTATATAGTATTTTTCAACTTTGTGTTAATAATACACCTCTGTGCATTATGACTGGCCATAAAATTAAGTTTATAAATTACATCTTAAAACTATTTGTAACTGCCCAGTGTTTGTTGATAGTGAAAATATCTGGCCACAAATATTGCAATAGTACCTAGGGACTATAGTAGTTTAAGGGATCTGGCATAATTACACTAAAGACAAAGTGCAATGTGTAAAATAAAATATGTTATTCTGTGTGGGGAACATAATTTCATGTTTTAAATGATAGAGCTGCCAATATATTTTCAGTAAGTAGTTCAGCTAAGTCATTTTTTCTACAAATTTCATTGATGAAGTATATATTCAGTCATAGATAAAAATGACTTATAAAATGTATTAAAGAAATATTCTATTTGTCAACTCATTTTACATTTTGTTTTCTTTGTACAACACTATCTACTGTTTATAGTCTCTATAAAAAAAATTTTTTAACCACACTTATAGCAATCTTAGAAGTAAATGCTGTATGTTCCAGGCCCCGTTTTGAAAGATTTCTTCAATAGTTTTGCTGCAGTGTGTCTAAATTTGCACATTTTTTGTTTTATGCTTTCTTTTCAGTTCTCTGGTTTAGAACATTAGAGTATGTTGTAGAGTAGTTAGGTGTACCAAAGCTCATTCAATATTATAACTGGAACACGCATCTTAGATTCCTTGTAATAATAATCTGGCTATATCATAGTTTATAAAAAATATTTTTTTGCAAAAATATGAAGTGATGTAACACTTTTTCAGAATGAATCTGAATGTATTTGTAAACGAGAAACAATACCACTCAATACATTGGACAGATTTAATTTCCAAAAATAATTAAACAGCTAAAGAAATTATGTTTACTAAACTGTGATGAAAGATTGTGTTGATGTAATATTCATTATGAATATGTACCTAAAAGAATCTAGAAAATATCTGGTCTGAAATAGCAGAAAGAAATCCATCGTCTCTTTGATGCAATACCATAAGCTACTCTAGCCATTAATAAGAATTAGGGGTACACATCAAAGTGCAGCATTTTTCAGTGTATGCAAATATGGCTTTTAACTTAGTAAGTATTTTTTTTTATAATATGAAATCCTTGAAACTAATAGTTATGAAAATTAAGAAAATGAATCATGGCTACAAGTACATTTTGGTATTGCAGCGTAAGTACCTGCCAGATAACCCTGAGGTTATTTTTGTTTATACGAAAATATTTGCAAGATCATTATCTTCTCTATACAAAATACTTTTGTAAATGTTTAGAAATGACAATGTTTCCCTTTGTTTGTGTAAGTGTTCACGAATAAATAAAACTGTCTGAAACCACTGTCTGTGCTACACATTCTTGTTGATACTCATATGAAAAATAGTTGATGGGGAAGATACACAATACAATAAGCTCTGTCAGTACAAACAAAGTAATTTTATTGATGTCATGTGTATTGTTTCAAATTTAAATATAAAAATGATTGACAGAAAAAGACTCAGCAAAGGGTCCTGTGGCACCTTACAGACTAACAGACGTATTGGAGCATGAGCTTTCGTGGGTGAATACCCACTTCGTCAGATGCATATAGTGCCACTACATGCATCCAACGAAGTGGGTATTCACCCATGAAAGCTCATGCTCCAATACGTCTGTTAGTCTATAAGGTGCCACAGGACTCTTTGCTGCTTTTACAGATCCAGACTAACACAGCTACCCCTCTGATACTTGAAGTTATATAGTTATGATTTATTTAAAGTAATTTATTTGTTTGTGATCACCATGTGTAGGAACAGGAAAGAATTTCCCCTCCCCCCCGCCCCCTGCAATCCCAGGGCAAATTGGCAATGACCTTGGGAGTTTTTGGCCTTCCGCTGCAGCATGGAGTGCAGACTGATTGCCAGGATCGTCTGGGTACATCTCAGTTAATCAGTTTCCATTGCAGAGGCCTTGGGCATTAATGTACATCCATCCCTTCTATTCTCTGCTTGTGGCATGTAATAGTTTAGTCTGCTGAGGGCTATGATGCATTGATGCAGCTGTCTCTCTAAGCTCTCTAGTGTAGCCGCTCTAAGCAGACAGGAGACAGATCTCCTGTTGACTTAATTAATCCACCCACAATGAGTGGGGGCAGCTATGTCAGCAGGAGAAGCTCCAACATAGCACTGTCCACACCAGGGCTCAGGTCGGTGTAATTTATGTCACTCAGTGAGGTGGCTTATTCACACCCCTGAGTGACGTAAATTATAACAACATAAGTGGTAGTGTAGACATAGCCTTAGTTTAATTTTAGTTGTTGGGATTAGTGTGCGAGTGCTGGGTGGGTTGGTGATCCCTTTTGTGATATATAGGTCAGACTAGATGGTCTGCTGATCCCTTTTGACCTCAGATTCTATGACTATGAATATTGTAACATACTTATGATTTATTTAAAGTCATTTTTGACTGTTTACACTTTTTACAAAATATAGCATGTCTTTGTAGATTGCATTTGTATTTCTAAATGTTGTGATATAATTAAATCACAATTATTTCTATTTTCACCTTTTGAAGCATTATCTGAAAATCCTACGATACCGTATTTTAGGTAATCTGAAAGTTAAGTAAATGACAAATGTACCTGGCCCAACAAGTGGGCAATAAGCCCTCTCCTGTGAGATGGAAGGTAACTATTAACCAGGAGATAATTCTTAGAAATAACAAATGGACATCGTTATTGTATTGGAGTTTCTGGTCAAGTACCTAGAGAGAAGTAATATGTAATACCAACAATGGGGACAATATTAAATTAGCAATGATTGTTGCAGTTTGTAAAGCATTTTGGTATCCTCCAGCTGCGCGCACTTTTTTTCAAACCCAGCTGGAGCTGTGATTAGTCGGTCTGCTGACAGGGCTGGGATATCGTGGCCCCGGTCCTGCCCTCCGCCCTGTCATTGGGCACTCAGGATGTGAATTCAAATTGGTGGTTTGCACTTGGAGCTCACTGAGACTGGGGGGCACGAGCTCTCAGAGACAGCATCCGATTGGAACTTCTAAATCGCCTGCCACGGCACCACCCAGCGCTGGCCGGTGCAGTGCGAGAACCTGCTCCCTGTAGGACTTTGCTACCTGCAGCAGTTACTCGTATGTAAAGGATTACAAAAACTGCTCTCTGATGTAATTTGCTACCAGTAGCAGGCCAGCCGTGCCTCTCCCCATGCAGCAGCAGTCAAAAAAGCGAACAGAATGCTGGGAATAATTAAGACAGGGATAGAAAACATCATGTTGCCTCTATATAAATCCATGGTACGCCCACATCTTGAATACTGTGTGCAGATGTGGTCGCCCCATCTCAAAAAAGATATATTGGAATTGGAAAAGGTTTAGAAAAGGGCAACAAAGATGACTAGGGGTATGGAATGGCTTCCATATGAGGAGAGATTAATAAGACTGGGACTTTTCAGCTTGGAAAAGAGACGGCTAAGGGGAGATATGATTGAGGTCTATAAAATCATGACTGGTGACGAGAAAGTAGATAAGAAAGTGTTGTTTACTCCTTCTCATAACACAAGAACTAGGGGTCACCAAATTAAATTAATAGGCAGCAGGTTTAAAACAAATAAAAGGAAGTATTTCTTCACACAACATACAGTCAACCTGTGGAACTCCTTGCCAAACGATGTTGTGAAGGCCAAGACGATAACAGGGTTCAAAAAAGAACTAAATGAATTCATGGAGGATAGGCCCATCAATGGCTATTAGCCAGGATAGGCAGGAATGGTGTCCCTAGCCTCTGTTTGCCAGAAGCTGGGAATGAGCGACAGGGAATGGATCACTTGATGATTACCTGTTCTGTTCATTTCCTCTGGGACACCTGGCTCTGGCCACTGTCGGAAGACAGGATACTGGGCTACATGGACCTTTGGTCTGACCCAGTAGGCCTGTTCTTATGTTTTTATGTTCTCTGAGTGGGGGTGGGGTGAGGTGGGGAGGAGACAGTGGTGTGACCCTTTTGCCAGGTGGAGCTGGCAGCAACAAGCGCTGGGCTCAATATCCAGGGGTCCCTTTTAACAATTCAACACAGAACCGGCCTGAGCCCTCACCCAGTAATCTGGGGAAATTAAGCACCATACCTCTAAGAGGCAGTACTTCCACCCTGGCAAGCACTGTATAGCAGAGAAAAAAATTAATAAAAAGAAGACAGGAGCCTGGCATTAATTTGGGAAAATGCTACAACCATGATTTGAACACATCTGACCATTAGCAAAACTCCTGTCCCAGAGTCCACTGAGCAGTATCCTTTGCCTCCCTTTCTCAGCTTGTGGTGTTTTAAGTACAGCAAATATCCCTTTAACATGCCACTCCCCTCTCCCTCCACCACATCCCACTCACAGCTCTCCTTGGTCAGCAGAGACCCAGAGTTCAGAGGTGCATTCACATGAGTGACATGTTCTGCATCACACGCCATTCGAGGCATGTGGGGTCAGCTGTGAGTTGTGGGCTCGGGGGAAGGGAGCACATTTCTGGGGTGATTAATTGCTTGGGAATCATGTAACGGGGAGCATTGGGATGGAAACCAGAGGAGAAGGATTCCTGGCTGCACCACTGGCCTGTTGGGTGCCCTTGGACAAGTCACTGCCCAGCTCTCTGCCTCAATTTCCCTGTCGGCAAAATGGGGATGTTACTGACCTTTGTAAAACACTTTGCGGTCTAATGATGAAAAGCACTAGATAAGAGCTGTGTCTTATTTTATTTTATTATTAGGGAGCAGCATCTTGGGCTTATTGATCATTGCTTAGGTGCCAGTGATCATGACTTGATTACATTTGTAATGTGCAAACCGAATAATGTCCAAACCAGTATAATTATATCTACACTTGTGCTTTAAATGGGCCAGTTTCAAGCTGAAAACAGTGATGAGTCAAATGAACTGGGAGAAAGGATTTAATCAGAAAATTGTAAATGATATTTTGGAGTTGTATAAGAACATTGCACTAGATGCCCAAAAAGCCTAAATTTCCCAAGCTAGAAAGAAGGCTACACAGGTGAAAAGAAAACAAGCAGCCTGACTTAGAGAAGAAGAGAAAGCAGCTATAAAAAAATACAATACATGGGGGGAAATATAAATTAGACTCTAAGAATTGTAGAAAATTGCTAAGGGAAGCAAAAGGACACAAGGGGATTATCTATGGCCAGCCGAGTTAAGGACAATAAAAACACATTTTAAGAATATTCAGAACAAAAGGAAACCTAACAATGGTATTTGTCCATTACTAGGTGGAAATGGTAGAGCTGACAATAATAATGTAGAGAAGGCCAAAGCGTTCAATAAATATTTGTTTTCCATTTAGGAAAATGCCAGTTAATGTATTCATGTTATATGATGGTGAGAAATACTTTCTATTCTAACAGTGACGAAGGGGGATGTTAGCAGCAGCTATTTTTAAAGCAGCGGATCCAGATAACTTGCATCTAAGCGTTTTAAAAGAGCTGGCTGAGGAGCTTGCTCGCCTATTAATGCTGATTTTCGATAACTCTTAGTACACTGGGGAAGTTCCAGAGGACTGGAAGATAGCTAATGTTGTGCCAGTATTTTAAAAGGGTAAATAGGACACCTTGGATAATTATAGGCTTGTCAGACTGGCATTGATCCCAGGCAAAATAATGGAATGTTAGATATCCAACTCAATCAATAAAGAATTAAAGGAGAGTAATAGCATTAATGCCAATAGCATGGGTTTACAGAAAATAGATCCACTTAAACTAACTTGATATCTTTTTTGATGTGATTACAAGTTGGGTTGATAAAGGTAATATCGCTGATATACTTAGAATTTCGTGAGGCATTTGACTTAACACACAACATTTTGATGAAGAAACTAGAACAGTATGAAATTAACATGCTGGCACCTACTAACTGGATTAAAAACTCGCTGGCACAAAGCAAACAATGTGTGTTTTAATATGGCCAAATGTAAATGTACAGTGAGGAACAAAGAACGCAGGCCACACTTACTGGATGTGGGGGGCTCTATCCTGAGAAGCAGCGACTCTGAAAAAGACTTGGAGATCATCTTGGACAATCAGCTGAATGTGAGCTGCCAATGTGACACTGTGCCAAAAGGGCTAATGTGATCTTTGGATGTATAAACAGGGGGACCTTGAGTAGGAGCAGAAAGGTTATTTCACCTCTGTGTTTGGCACTGGTGTGACTGCTGCTGGAATTCTGTGTCCAGTTCTGGTGCATACAGTTCAAGAGGATGTAGAAACATTGGAGAAATTCAGAGAAGAGCTGCCAGAATGATGTAAGGATTGGACAACCTGCCTCACAGTGAGACTTAAGGAGCTCTGTCTATTT